AGGCCCAGTCTCTCCAAGACAGCCCTAAGAAAGTCCCAATCCACCTGATCGAATGCTTTCTTAGCGTCAATAGAAACAATTGGATAAGGAGGGACATAATCATGCGTACGTGCCCAGTGTACAAGCTGGAGTGCCCTTATGGCGTTGTCCCTAGCTTCAGGTCTCACAATAAATCCTGTTTGGTCAGGATGAATTATGGAGGGAAGGAGATGTTTCAGCTGGTTGGCGAGGATTTTAGAAAAAAATCTTTAAATTGGTGTTAAGCAGGGAAACTGGGTGATAGTTCTGAGAAAGGGTATAGTCCTTCCCTTCTTTGAGGAGTATAATGGTGTGTGCTAGTAAGGCACCTGGAAGAATGTAATCCTGGGAAGCAAGGGAGTTAAAGTACCTGCACATATGGGGCGGGAGCAGTGGGAATAACTTCATATAGTAAGCTTTAGTGAAGCAGTCAGGCCCTAGGCTTTGCCCATTTAGCAGGGACTTCACAGTTGCTAATAGTTCCTCAGGGGAAATTGTTCCAATTCCGCCCGTTCGGAAGGTTAGGGTGGGGAGTCCCGAAGAGTAGTAGGTGGAAGCGCGGCATTTATAAAGCACCCTCGCAAGCATCCTTCCACACTTTTTACCGTGCTCATAATAATGGTGTGCGATGTAACGAAGTTGGCGGCAGATACGTCGGTCTAAGAGCTTAGAGAAGAGCTTGCATAGTTCCGTCAGGAGCCATTGAGTGTCGGCGTCAGCCGTTTGCTCGTGCTGCAGCTCTGCCTTTTGTAAAGCAGTAAAGGACTCGATGGAAGTCTGCCTGTCTCTCCTCCTTAAGCCTGGAGCCCTGAGCAATGAGAGAACCACATATAACCGCCTTATGGCCCTCCCAAAGAACACCATCACACATCCCCAGTGTTATTCTCCGGAAAATAATGTGTCAGAGTGTCCAAGGTTTTCATTTAGCTGACACAACCAGGCTCTGCTGCAGAGTGGGGCAGTAGAAGGGAAGCAGATGGCATTCCCTCAGTGACCCCCGGATGGGGCAGGCGGTGGGTTCCTGGACAAAGGGCATTTGCGGCCTTTGGATCTTGCAGGTAGCCAAGGCGGGGGAGCCGGCTATGCGGAGAACATCCAAGAGGGGATGAGATTTCTCTGAATATGCCTTGGAGAGTGGGAACAATATCCTTTAACGCCATTGCCTCTGGCAACCCATGAATACAAATATTGGAACAGTGGCTGCGGTTCTCATAATCATTAAATTGGCAAAGGAGTGCCCCGTCTGATCTTGCGCTGCACATTTGTCTTTAAGTGACGATAGTGCTAGGATGGTTCCCTCAAATTTTGGCTCCAAGATGTGCAGTGTCTGACTTCAACTGTACAATGTCTTGTTTAAGAGCTTTCGCCACTCTCCAAGCAAAGCGCTCTACTCTCTGGTGAGGAGATACGATAAGTGTTGCTTCAGGTCTTGATTCCCTGCTATGTCATAAATGTCAGAGCTCTGATCTTGAGAGGTCACTGAAGGGGAGAGGCTGGATGGGGGGGGGGGGGGGTGTTACTCACCAACTGAGGAGGTGCAATCGGCAATACTCCTGGGGGTAGAGAATACTGGGCTGCAGTTGTAGTATCCCCAAGCTCTGGCCCCATCTTGGAGGCCTCTCCCTTCATCCGCCCGCTCTCTCCGCGGCCTCTTCCTTTGTTCACCCATTCTATCCAAAGAAAGAATTTATGAAGTCCTGGCCAGGAGTAGAAGTTCCCCGAGGCTGGGAGGAGGCAGTGGGACATCGCAGGTGTGCTGAATTAGCTGTGGGAACTCTTGTAGCAGGCTTAAGAAGCAGCGGTGTGTGAGGAGCTCTAGTACCCTCTTCCTCACTCCTCCATGCCCCCAAACCACACCCCATGAAGTTACCTTTTAATTGTAAATCGCAGGACACAGAGGTGTTCATATGCATGACTACTTGGGCTATCTTCAGGTGATTGGACACTGGCCAAAAATGGCATAAATGGCCGATCAGGCATAGTTACTTCCCCAGCGCAGCTAAGCCTCAGTTTTTTTTTGCTAGTGTTCTTAGCTTATGGACATTCTACCTTGTGTCTCTCTGAAGATCTTTTGGTGGACTTTGTTCTCATTGCTCTTGGACGGTTCCTGGAGTCGGTGGGCCTTATCACATCATCTAGTAGGACAAGAGGGGACTGTACCCAGACCTTGCATTAAAGAGCCGGGGTGGCTTGACATTTCTACAGGTCATTGCAGCATCCTGCAGGCAGTGTGCTCCCATGTACAATTAACCTGGTGACCTCACTGGCAGGGTACTATACATGGCCAAGACAGTGATTGCTTTGGTGGGGAAGTAGAGTCCCTGAAGGTCCTGTGTGGCATGCCCACTGTGTTAGCTGAGGACTTGGCCTGCTAGCCCTGCAGCTGAACAGGTGAGTGCCTGTGTGTATCAGCGCAGCAATGTGGCAGGTCCTCCAACAGTGTTTTCCTGTGTATTTGGATTTCTGGGCATTTTTCTATTATGGGGTGACGGTAGTGGTGGCAGAACTTAAAGAAGCTGTATGCTTGTTAAATGTTTTCATTGTTTTTACTAGGTATTAGTGTAGTATGATCCCTGTGTTGGTTTGCCTTACTTTGTAATGATGTTACATAGTTGTGTAGTTAGTCTGGCTGAAAAATTACAAAAGTCCATCCAGTTCAACCATAGAAAAAAAAAAAAAAAAAAAAAAGTTATAATCCTACACACCCACAGTTGATCCAGAGGAAGGCAAAAAAAACAGCAAAAGTATGACACAATTTGCTCCTGCAGGGGAAAAAATTCTTTCCTGATTCCTCGAGAGGCAATCGGATATTCCATGGATCAACTTTACCTATAAATGTTAGTATCCAGTTATATTCTGTGTATCCAAGAAATAATCCAGGCCTTTTTTAAAGCAATCCACTGAGCTGGCCAGAACCACCTCTTGAGGGAGTCTATTCCACATTTTCACAGCTCTTACTGTGAAGAAACCTTTTCCGTATTTGGAGATTAAATTTCTTTTCCTCCAGACGTAAAGAGTGCCCCCTTGTCCTCTGTGATGACCTCAGGATGAATAACTCTACACCGAGTTCACTATATGAACCACTGATGTATTTATACATGTTGATCATATCCCCCCTTAATGTCCTCTTCTCAAGAGAGAATAAATTCAGTTCCTCTAATCTTTCCTCATAGCTGATCTCCTCCATGCCTCTTATCAGTTTGGTTGCCTTTCTCTGTACTTTCTCCAGTTCCCCAATGTTCTTTTTGTGAATTGGTGCCCAAAACTGAACTGCATATTCCAGATGAGGTGTTACTAATGATTTGTACAGGGGTAATATGATATCTCTCTCTCTGGAGTCTATACCTCTTTTAATACAAGAGAGGATTTTGCTTGCTTTAGAAACCGAAGCTTGGCATTGCATGTCATTATTAAGCTTGTGATCTACCAGAACTCCCAGATCCTTCTCCACCATTGATTCCCCCAGTTGTACTCCCCTAGTATGTATGATGAATATATATTCTTAGCCCCCCAAGTGCATAACCTTATATTTATCAACATTAAATCTCATTTAACATAGTTGCCCAATTAAACAGTGCATTGAGGTTGGCTTGAAAGTTGAAGACATCCTGTAAGGACGTTATTTCCACTGCACGGCTTGGTGTCATCTGCAAAGACTGAAATGGTATTTTTAATCCCAGACCCTTTATTGTTTATAAATATATTAAAACGGAAGGGTCCCAACACTGATTCTTAACGCACTTGCTTGGCCAAGAAGAATGTGGTATGCAGACATTGTAAATCTCTTGGAAGATGAGCCGTGGGTTTTTCCAGATCTGCTGCTGCAGGGTCCAATTATATAATAGGAGGTACTATTCCTCTCACTGACACCAACAGCAGGACAATAATTCACTGACACCAACAATGGCTTCCAGCGACACCAACGATGGGGCACTATTCCTTCCATTGACACCAATGAGTTACTATCCTACATTTTCTTTTCCCACTGGCCACAGTCTGGCCCTCCTAAAGTCTGAACAACAGTAAACAGCCCTTTGTTTAAAATGTTTGGAGACCCCTGATATAGAATAACCATTGATTTAAAATTAAATTAAAACTAAATTAGCACTATACTATATTAAGCCATAACCGTACATTATTAAACACTACATAGAGTAATAATACTGAACGCAAATTGCAACCCTTTCTCTAGACCTTACTCTCCAAATTATTACACATCAACTAATAACAAAATGTAAAATTACATAAAAATCTGGATCATAGACCAGACTAAATCCTGACATAAACATGTTCAAGTTTGTAAGGCTGCTACCTGGTCTTCTGTATAAACATTTATTAAGTTCTGCCAGGTAGATGTTTGTCTCTGTGGATGCCAGTTATGGGTGAAAGGGCTTGCAGGTGGCTTTTTAGTGGTGTTCCCCCATTCTGTTTCTGGGTTTCGGACGAGTCTGGCCTTGTTTACTCTGGTGTTCAGTTCTTTGGAACATCCCAAGTAGTCTTGTAGTTATGGATATGTGTCCTGTGGTGTACAATTAATAAATTAGGATTTTTGGTTCACCTGTAAAATCACAGAATTCAGAGATTCCTAGCCGAGCTTGGTAGCAGTTATGCCTCTGTGGGGATTCCTGCCTTTTTTTATGGCCACTGTCCATTCACTTGCAGGTGGCAGCATAACCCAAGTAGTCAAAAATATGAACTCCTCTATGTCCTGTGATGTACTCCAAGAAAGGGATTTTGCAGGTAAACCAAAAAATGTTTAATTATATGCAAGCCTTTGTGGATAGTGATTATGCACAAAGCAGAAGAGCTTCTAGCTATTTGAACTTTGCCGTTGGGATACTTGTATACGTAGAACATTTATTGAATGTAAGATCTTTAACTTGAAACTAATCATTTCTATATAAATATTTTAATTGCTATTTCAGTTCACATTTTCAGAGTGTGTTATATATTAAGATGGTCCTTATGATATCACTAAACAGGTGAGATGCACTGTTCTGTTGGTGGAAGTCGAAGTGCAACAGTGGTCGCTGATGTATCTGAGACTGTTTTCGACACAGAAATGGGGGAAATCAGGTGGGTGTAAGATATCAACTCTGTCTAACATCCCACATTCTGAGAAAATACAATTCTTTCATAAACCTTTGTTGCAGAATCGGTGGAGAAATCCAGTCTATGGTTTGGGATCCGAGTGGAGAGAGACTTGCTGTGCTGTTGAAAGGTTGGAGTCTTGCTGATACAGACTAACCTGTATTTTGCCCACTATTTGGTTAAGTGTTTACATTTCAGTACTGTCTGCCTTTTACAGAGAACCGCAATGATAATACAAGTGAATCCGTGATTGCTGTTTACAGGACAAAGAACAGTCCCATATTTGAGCTGCTTCCTTGGTAAGTACCCCTGACTAATGCTGTTGAGGGATGTAATATCCTAGACAAGCATGGTTTACTCTTATTGCCTTTAGCTATGCGAGTCAAAATATGATGTAGGAAAATGGGGGAAACAAATTATTTTACTGAATTCAGAGGTGATATTTTCTATACTATGCCCTGGACACTTAGTTACTTTATTCCAAGCTGCACCAATTAACTATGTATAAAATCTAAAACTAGAATTCCTCTTTAAAATCATAAGACTATTTCACTTGCTGAAGGCAAAACTAAATTCAGAAAGACCCACAAACAAAGAACAACTGAAGACAGCTGCAGTTAGAGCCTGGCAAAGCATCAGTAAGGAGGAAACCCAGTCTTTGGTAATGTCCATGGGTTCCAGACTTCAGGCAGTCATTCTCAACAAAATATTAAAAATGAACATTTTATTTATAATTATATTAATTTGTCCAATTACTTTTGGACATCCCCGCCTGGAGAACACAGTGATTACTGGTAGCAGCTATGATAGCTACTAGCAATAATCATATGTAAAATCTGACAGGCTAGTTGTACTCAAGTTGATCGATCAATCAACTTGGGTACATTCAGCCTGTCCATACAGGGTTTGAATCTGAGCTGGTCCCTTCTGAACGGGCCAAGTTTCGAACAATCTATTGCTTTGCACCATCTGCCTCTCCACCACATCAAATTAGAGAACGCTTTGGATAGCTTAAACAGGGTTATAACCCCTGTAAGGTTTATATTTGCAATCTCTGTCCCATTGGGGAGATTTACCTTCATTTCCTGTCCCATAGCCAAAACAGGAAGTGAGAGGAAATCCCTGCAAATTAAGGGAATCCCTTAAGAACTAGAGTCCTCATTGGAGGTTTTCCCCTCTATTATTTTTCTGGGGACGATCCAAACTTTTACTTTCACTTTGATGATAGTAAACCGTTTTTATTGCTGTCTGTCCCCTGTTAGGGGAGTCACCCTCTATATTTGTTACTGACAGGTGTTCTCATCTACCTCCCCTCTATCCAACACTAAAAATATAAAATGTTTCCTTTAGTTATACTTTAAAGTCTGTCTTAGCTGACCTGAAAATTCTAGTTGCCGGTTACCATGACACTTGGACTTTAATATTTGAGTAAGATCCAGAACAGGTATGAACATCAGTAATAGAGTACCTGGAGTGCAAACCTGTTCTTGGGAAATGAGAGGGAAAGTAGTGAAGTCACTGGCAACTACCATTTTTTAATTGTACATTACAGGACACGGAGAATTATTCATGACTACTTGGGTTATGCTGCCACCTTCAGCTGAATGGACACTGGCAAAAAAAGGCAGAAATCCTTGCCCGTGCATAAGTCCTCCCAACTTGGCTAAGCTTTGGTTTTGTGCTAATTAAGTGATGGATGTGCCTCCCTGTGTCTCTGTAGATCTGTCATGTATGCTTTTTTTTCCCTCTATATCTGGGTCTTTTCTTTACACCTTACCCTGGTGGGACAGCAGGTCAAGGGGCATGACGGTGTCCAGACCCCACATGGCAGCCTGTAATATCTGGCAGTCAGCACTGGACCCTGTGGACAGGAATCTCTGGTGTACTCTGTACCTGGTGACCTCTCTGGAAGATTGCTGTACAGGTCCAGGGCAATGATCTGCTTGGAGGTGGGTCCAGTCCTTGAAGGCCCTGTGGGACATGCTTACAGTGTTGGGTAAAAATTGGGCCTGCTTTCTCTGCAGTTATAGATGGGTGATAAAGACATTGTGTTGCCATCTTTTTTTTTTTTCTAATTCCAAGCATTGCATCCTAAGGGAGGTGCTTCCTCTTTGGATGATGTTCAAGCTGTTTGAGTTTATCTTGCGTCTACAGCCTTATTTCAACTGTTTGATTTCCTGGTTTTTTTTGACTGAAGGTTCTCACAAGGGTCAGGCTGCTTCTCAATACACTATTTCTAGGTAGATTCCTCAGCTCATTCCTTAGGCCTATTCTATAAAGAGCAAGATTTCTCCTTTCCCAGTCAGTGCCCACTCCATCAGGAGTGTTGGTGTTTCCTGGGTTCATCAGCATCAAGCTTCTGTTCAATTTCTTCTCTTCACTGGTTCACAAAGTTCTACTAGGTAGATGTGTTCACCTCTGTGGACACTAGTTTTGGGTGAAAGGTCTCGCAGGTGTCTTTGTACAGGGGTTCTATCCGGTTTTTAGGTTTGGGCGTGTTGGCCCTGTTGCTGTGTGCTTACCCCTTATGTTCAGAGCTTTGGGACATACCAATGTTCAGAGCTTTGGGGCATACCAAGGTGTGATAAAGATCTATGTCTGATGTATGATTAAGAAATCCAGGATTTTTGGTTTTCTTCTGAAACCCTTTTCTTGGAGTACATCACAAGACATTGAGATCCCTCACCCTCTTCCCTGTGTTCCTCATTGCTTGTACAAAACTTAGACTTGGCTGATTTGGGAGGGGTTATACCTGCAAAGGTATTCCTGACTTTTTTGACCATTGTCTATTGATGGTTGCAGCATAGCCCAAGTAGTCATGAATATCTGAGATTGGTATCCTGTGATGTACTCAAAGACCAAAGCTCCTAATATTTCTCTTCTGATGGATTTTTTAATGTACTATGTTCAGTTTGGGGGAAAAAAAGCTTTAGAAACAACCTAAAGCTGACCTCCAGTCAAACATTAAAAAATGCTGTTTATACATTCAGTAAAAAATGAAAGCGCAACTGAGCTTTCAGTTTAAATTAAATACATGTCAGGTAGATCAAAGTCAAAGATGTGCAAAGTCTTACAGTGCAAGTATAAAAGCCTGTGTTCTGTCAGCATGATGCACAGTGGAACCCTTGTTCTCCATGGGGAAGCACTGATTCCTTTGCAGATGACTGACCTTCCAGTTAGCAGGGAGCATGAACTTTGCTGACTGCGGAGCCATAGGTTTTTCACCACTATTCTTAAAATAAAAAAAAAAAGAAGAATCTTATGCATGGATGTCTCAATGATTATGCATATCCCTCTGGTGTATAATTCTGAAACTAATGTAAATAATTCTTTTGTCTCCAGTGGCTTCCTTCCATGCAGAGTGGGTGAGGATCCGCACTTTATGCAGTTTCATCCTTGTTTCCCAAAAGGGGCGCTACTCACTGTGGTAGAGTATCTATCTTGTCTTTTCTACACATCACTTACATTATACATTTACAGTAGTCTGACAGCGTCTTCTCTTCTCTAGCTCTCAAGTTCTGGTCGCCTCTCCCATGTGCCCTTCTACTTTGTGAATGCACAGCATCCGCGGTTTATTCCAGAGACTGAAACCATGGCGCTGGCTGATGACAGCAATGCAAAAGGCACACCTTTGCTTTTTACACAAAACTAAATGTTTTCAAATCAACAATTCATTTTTGTATGTGCTTTATATTATACATAACCAGCACTACATTTAAAATGGAGAATATAGTAGTTAAAAGAGGTATGGGAAAAGATTTTTGTTTTTTTTTGGTCGTACTTCTCTTGTGGGTCACAGGAGTACATATTGCATATATTGTTGGGATCCACCCAGCTGCCTGAATCAAAGCTGGCCCCAGCTCTCAGCGCATGGCTCAGAGCTAAAGCCAGCTGCTCCCTAGCCCTCTCCAGCCCAGCACTCCAGTGAGCTCTGGAGGGGCAGAGCAGAGAGCAATGACTAACAGTTACTGCTCTCTGCTCCAAGCAGACCAAGGCCTGGGCGATCAGCAGTCATGACATGAGACAGCTGCAGCATCACAGTGATGCTGCAGCATAGAGGCGTGTATGGATGTATATTTTAATTCCCATACTTCTCATTTAAGAGTTGGATTGTTGACTCTATGAGCACATGTAGGAATGAGCAGGGCATAAATATTGAGAGATAGGAAAGAAACAGCTGCCTTTATGTGTAGCAGCAGTGATGTTAGCCTGGCCTTCCAAAATCAAGCACAGACTTTGCTATCCGACATCAGATTCTAGTGTTGGAGATCTGCACACTGACAATTGTGTGCATTTTGTGTTTGCTGAGCTCGAGCATTTAACAAGTAATTATAATGCAGCTATAAGCATTGTTTCCACACATGTCTAAAATAACGCCAGGTAAGAAGATAATTTAGTCCCCCACATTCAAATTTTTAATGAATATCATTGACTGAGTTAACATTTCTCAAGGCTTTGGAGATCCTTACCAGACAACCACAGTGAGCAAAATGGCAACCCGTCAGCAAAATAAATGGTTGTTTTAATTTCAACTGTATGTAAACATAAAATCATAATCTTTAGTGATGCATTTTTCTGTCCCTCATAGTTTATATAATGCAGACTTTTATTTAAGGTTTATATTAAAGTTTGGGCTAGATATCCAATGATTCTGCCAGTCTCCCCCACAATCCTTTGCTTCCTGATCACACTTGCCAAGAAAACAAATCCATGTTAGTGTTGCCTTGGTGCCTTTAAGGATGCAGTGCTAATGCATGGGTACTGTAGCTGGCCTTTGAAAACACAGGCTGACATACTCCTGGTCCAGCTCTGCAGAGTCTCTTTGACAGTGGCTTCTCACAGGAGTCATGCTGTCAACAGAGCAGCTGCATACTGTAGGAGAAAGTGGCAGAGCAGACCGATCAACATTAGCTGTCTCATCCTCACTCAACAACGGAAGAGGCGATATAGAGGCCATGTGACCACCAATAAAACTAGTTAGAACAATACAGTATTTAATACAGTATTTAACCTCTTCATGCTGGAAGAGGTATTTAACCTCTTCACGCATCTGGGCCTAGACACCGAGCGGCCACACATTTGCGTTCTATTAAAAAAGGACATATGTGCCCGAGAGCGCTCCCAGCACATATGTCCGCTACTCACGGAAAGGTCCCGATCTCCTCTTTCGATCGGGACCTTTGCCGATCATGTGGTGGTGCATCACGGTGGTCACATGACCCTAAACCTCCCGGCTTCTGGAACCATTAAAGGGCCGGGAGGCTCCGGCATGAAGGGGTTAACAGCCAAATGTTTTAATTTTAATCATTTGGATCGTTTCACAAAGCACTGCAGATTAGTAGGTATGTAAAACACATAAGGTTGACATACAATTTGAGTCAAAATGACTCTAAAGTTCTGTATATTTACCGTATATTAAGCTGTATGAGACAAATACAAGGATACATATCTCTCTAATTAGTTCAGATATGTATTTTCTGACCAAAATTTAGATTCATCTCACAAAACAGTAACACTTTGGTTTTAATTGTATGTCCAAAACAAACAGTAACTTGAATATAAACCACTTCAGCTGCTGTACCTGTATACTCTACAAAGGACTAAGCCTCTTGATTTAGCGGTTACTTTGCCATTATAGCATAAATCATTATATTTTTTTGGGGAAGACTGTTTTGATTGTATTGTCTTCGAAAAGTATTTCTTTTGAATATGCTAAGGGCATAAAAAAAAGTTTACCATTTTTCAAACTAGTGTTATTGTGATATGTCCCGCTTATAAGGACAATAAAACTTTCTGGTAAAAAGCATTGTGAAGTTATTTGCAAATAAAATAAAGGCCATTTTAAAATGTATTTTTAATGAGATACTTCTGCATAAATAAAATAAAGTGAAAAAGTTTGTTCCGAGTCCTTAAAGCATGTTTCCACTTTTGTAATTTAATTAAAAAAAAAAAAAAAAAAAACCACTATATGTTATGTGTTTTCATTCATACAGCATGCCTAATTTTTTTCCCATCAATATCTCTCACCTTTTAGATGTTTCTCAGGAGGAGGTGTCATAGCTGGCTGCAAGGTTTTTTGAACAATGTTAGCATGAGCTTGTCCTAGGTCTGTCCTCATTAACATACAATGCAAGAAACCCAACCCCTGCACTTTTAACCCTTTGTTAGGGCAGACAGTGCTCAGATCTACTTACAATTGATAATAAAGATCTGCCTGCACAGTACAGACATGGTTAACTATGGCAAACACAGCTGTCAAGTCCCCTCATAAACAAAGGAAACTACCTATAGAGCCTAGGTAAAGGTCCAGAATAGAGCATCTTAAAAAGTAAGCTGCAATTTTCAAATATTTTTTTTTTTAAGTTATACTACATGAAACATGCAACAAATGTAGAGATTATCTCAACTTGGCTGCAAAAGCGGAAATACACCTTAAAGTGTTACTAAACCCACAGCAGTAAAATCAGTCTGTATATGCAGTAATGTATGCTTGTTATACTCACTGTGGAACCTAAGGAGTTAATCCTCTGCATTGTATCTCCTGATATGACATACAGTGCCTTGAAAAGGTATTCATAGCCCTTAAAATTTTCCACATTTTTTTGTCATGTTACAACTAAAAACGTAAATGTATTTTATAGGATTTTATGTGATAGACCAACACAAAGTGGCACATAATTGTGAAGTGGAAGGAAAATGATAAATGGTTTTCAACATTTTTTACAAGTAAATATCTGGAAAGTGTGTCATGCATTTGTATTCAGCCCCCTTTTAGTCTGATACCCCTAACTAAAATCTAGTGGAACAAAATGCCTGCAGAAGTCGCCTAATTAGTAAATAGAGTCCACCTGTGTGTAATTTAATCTCAGTATAAATACAGCTGTTCTGTGAATCCCTCAGAGGTTTGTTAGAGAACATTCGTGAACAAATAGCAACATGATAGCCAAGGAACACACCAGACAGATCAGGGATAAAGTTGTGGAGAAGTTTAAAGCAGGGTTAGGGTATAGAAAAATATCCCAAGTTGTGAATATCTCATCATCCGAAAATGGAAAGAATATGGTACAACTGCAAACCTACCAAGACAAGGCCGTCCACCTAAGCTGACAGGCTGGGCAAGGAAGGCATTAATCACAGAAGCAGCAAAAAGGCCCATGGTAACTCTGGGAGAGCTGCAGAGATCCACAGCTCAGGTGGGAGAATCTGTCACCAGGACAACTATTAGTCGTGCACTCCACAAATCTGGCCTTTATGGAAGAAAGCCAAAAGAAGTCCTGTTGGCAGTTTGCGAGAAGCCATGTAGGGGACAGCAAATGTGGAAGAAGGTGCTCTGGTCAGATAAAACCAAAATTGAACTTTTTGGCCTAAAAGCAAAATGCTATGTGTGGTGGAAAACTAACATTGCACATCACCCTGAACATCCCACCCCCACCTTGAAACACGGTGGCAGCATCATGTTGTGGGGATGATTTTCTTGGACAGGGAAGCTGGTCAGAGTTGATGGGAAGATGGATGGAGCCAAATACAGGGCAATCCTAGAAGAAACCCTGTTAAGTTTGCAAAAGACTTGAGACTGGGGCGGAGGTTCACCTTCCAGCAGGACCACGACCCTAAACAACATACAGCCAGAGATACAATGGAATGGTTTAGATCAATCAAAGCATATTCATGTGCTAGAATGGCCTAGTCAAAGTCCAGATCTAAATCTAATTGAGAATCTGTGGCAAGATGTGAACATTGCTGTTTACAGACGCTCTCCATCCAATCTGACAGAGCTTCAGCTTATTTTGCAAAGAATAATGGACAGAAATGTCCCTCTCTAGATGTGCAAAGCTGGTAGAGACATCCCCAAAAATACTTGCAGCTGGAATTGCAGCCAAAGGTGGTTCTACAAAGTATTGACTCCGGGGGGCTGCATACAAAGGCATGTCACACTTTTCAGATATTTATTTGTAAAAAATGTTGAAACCCATTTAACATTTTCCTTCCTCCTCTCAATTATGTGCCACTTTGTGTTGGTCTATCACAAAAAAATCCCAAAAAATAAATTTACACTTTTGGTCGTAACATGACAAAATGTGGAAAATTTCAAGGGGTATGAATACTTTTTCAAGGCACTGTATCATGTGGAGTCACTCTGCACATGCTCAGTTGGTGTGTATTGCCAGAGAGGTTTTTTTTTTTTTTGTCTGTCTTGGGAGAGTGCATGTGGTCAGCATAGGACCAGACAGAGGTCAGTGGTTCTACATCCAACTAGAGCAGAATAAAAACTCCTCCTACAGGCTTTAACCAGTGCTCAGCTGGACACTGCTGATGAGAGGTATTTAGCAGTTTGTTTACCTAAATATTTCATGTTCTGTTTACCGTGGGAGACCAGATATAGTGAATGCAGGGTCCTGGGTTTAGTAACATTTTAAGCTTTGGATTATACTGTCACCTACAGGAGTATTGGACACTGGCAAACAAAAACAGGATAGCCCCTCCTATAACCAGCATTTTTTTTTTTTTGCTAGCATCTGAGGATGGACATTTTTTTCCCCAGGTCTGCTGAAGATTACCTTATTATTTTACTAGCACCTTTCTTTGATTTTTTTTTTTTTTAATTTCAGTCAAGATTATTTTCTATATCACTGGTGGAGGTATTCCTGCCTC